TAATTAAGTACTATCCCTGTGAGCTTACCAAATGATACACAATGCAGGAAGGATTCCGTTGTTATGCACACAACAAATCGGTTTTGCCTATCGCCAATGATTCTAAAAGAGAAAAATCGATTACGAAACAAAGTGGCATAATTTGACATTCCAAAGCACCGATGGGTGGTAATTAATTGTGATAGAATGTACTTTGTTCGGTGGCAGTTTGTCCGTTTAACGCATTTTTGTCGGCATCCGCTTCCAGATTTTCCTGACAGTGTCGCTATGTGTCAACTCATTTTCAAACTGTATAAACAAATGATATACCGAGTTCGAAGAAAGCATAGAGTGAATGGGAACGTAATAATCAAAATCCAATGAAAAGATGTTTTCACTTACATGACCTGTTAAATTTAGAAGCACAGCAGAAGCGCATGTGTGTTCTAATGTTCATGTATCTCTGCACCACTTGTTCTATTGATCCCCAGTCAGCATTCCACCGGGGCCGGATATACACTAGTTTTAACAATTCGCAGCTCAGTACATGGCAACCTAACTGGCGAAGTGCCAGCGAGTTAAAAGGAAATCTGTGATGTGAAGAAACATCCATTCACTGCTTGCGTATGAAATTTCCACAAAAGTGTCTGATAGATTACCAGCTTAATTTGCTTCTCAATTCGACAGAATTTGAAAATACTAAGCGTTCGTCTTTTACGCGGTCAACCGATAAGCAAGTAAGCATCGTTGTGTTGGAAAATGTCCCGGTGCCCGGTAGGACTTGTTTTCTTTGTGTAGAAAAAACATGGTTCACTCAGTGGAGTGCACAGGACGATTTCCATTTGATCCCGGTACCTAAATTAATGGAGAAGTGTATTGGTCTACGGGAAACTCTACGTCACCATGATAAGTGGTGTGTGTTAGGGCTGTTTCACCACCCGCCGTTCTGTTTGTCCTTTTGGTCAAATTGATCATGAATGATTACACAGTGCAACATCATTTCTATAACAGAAATGAGATAGAATGTTTCTGCTAGCAGTACCAAGTGAGCTAATTACGAATATGCAAAACAAATGTCGCTATCACGTCGGGTTAATTTATTCTAATTTTGCATCTTAGCTAAGCAGTGCGTTCCATGCATCGAACGCTTGCCTGTGATTGGTACATTGACTCTGCAATTGTGGAAAAGAAATCCTCTTGCTCATGGTATCCACTTGATACCGTAGGTCGATTAAGAGCTGTGTTACCTTAATTGATATCTTGATCATGACTCAAAGACGCTGCCGTGTCAATGACCGAAAGCATTTTTGTTACGTCTGTGAACAGTTTACTATGAAGTCACAGTGCATACCCATTTCTTGACTACTGAAGTCTGTTTACCACGCACATTTTAGGATAAAACTGGGAGATCAGGATAAGAAGCGAGCGCCTCATATTGTTTATGTGTCGTGCAAACTTCATCTGACTTAGTGACTCAAGGCAAAGGCAAGATGCCCTTTGTAATCCCCATGATGTGGAGGGAGCCGAAGGATCACACGACAGACGACTACTTCTGCCTAAGCAGTGTCATTGGAATCTCCAACCGATTGGCTGAGCGCTTCAACAGTGCACATACCAACTTGCGCGTCACCTGCGAGCTAGAACGAGAAAATTGTCTGCCATTCTTTGATCTTCTCATGATTAACGCGGAAGTCCTCCAACTAGTGGGTTTGGTACCAGATATTTCGCGGTCGTCTCAGTGCGTCTGTTTAAATCGGACCACGTACACTAGTTTGGTCATGTCATTCTCATGCTTGCTGACCGACTGCATCGCGTGCTGTTTACCAATACTACATCTATAGTCAATTGAAACTTGGTTATCCTGCGTGATGTGGCAAGAGACTATGAGGAAATCTGCGGGAAGGCCTATTTGGGTTGGTACGGCTGTCCTCAGGATAGATCACATCGGTATTGGGATATTACAACTGTGGAACAGTCAAAAAATCAGTGACTGACTCCCAGTCAATGCACTGGAATATTTTATTGCTTGTCAATTATTGTTGCATTAATACCATTATTTCCCTCTATACTGAGTTGACGTAGGTGAAAGCGACTTAACCCACCTCATCTCGGGGTACAGATCGTGGTTGGTCAATTGCTCTGAGGTGGTTTTCACACCCAAAGATTTATCCAAAGTAATGGAAGGTATTATCCCAGAGGTGCTAATGGAATCCTTTAAGAGCAACGACATCATCATTCCACAACAGCACGGATTCCGTCGGAATCGGTCATACACTACAAACTTGCTGCTAGTCCGAGTAAGCTGGACAGGATCAGTCGTTGCCAGAGTAGGAGTCGAAGTCGTCTGCTTGGATTTCTCTAAAGCGTTCGTTCGCCTGGACCACCGCGTTCATCTTCACAAGTTAAGAAGCTATGAAATCGATGACTATGTGCACGCTTGTCTAATCATCTCCCTCATTCAACGTTGACTGAATGCGAGAGTTCGCAGCTCGATTGGTGACCCAATGGAATTTCAGTGTGATGTGCTTCAAGGATCAGTGATGGGGCCACGATTTTTCTCAACATACATTAATCGTCTTGCCAGTGTACTGCAGTCGAATTTATTATTATTTACAGATGGTGCCAAAATCTGGCATAATAGCTTGGCAGTGGGTGATCACACAGAACTGCAAAGCGATCTCGACAGGGTCTAACTGTAGTTATCCGAAAACAGGCTTCAGTGCAATGTGACGAAATACAAAGTCATTGGTAATTCGTCAGCATACGCCAGCAGCTTACACTTGAATATGGAATTGGGGACCAGTAGTTTCGAGGTGCTTCTAAGAAAAGCTACCTAGGGGTAAGCGTGCAGGATGACATTGCTGCTCGAAACAGGCCGAAAATGCATCGGAGAGGACCAATCAACACCTTGGACTTTTACGGAGGTTTTTCCGAAAGTTCGAGCCATCAATACAAAGTTGGATTTGGGGATGTTAGTGTTGGGAGGAACAATACCGAAGCACCATTTCGAGCCATCAATCTTTCCGCAAATGTTGAAGGTCTACGCAGGGCCCCACGTGGAAAATGCGATCTAAGCCTGGAGTGTCTGGTGCCAGCTCGACGTGAATGTACTAGAAGCTCTCCAACGTAGAGGTACCGAACTCAATATGGAGTTCAGTCAACTCCTCTACCAACACACACTGCAAGCCCTGATATTGTACATTGGCGAATATAGGCGTCCTCAAGGAGATTTCATCATAACTAACTTAATACTGACCTACCCACATCACGCCTATCTTAACCTGTTGCAACTGAGTCAAAATAGCAAACTGAGATGCCACCGGCTGAAACTCGCTAAGCACTACAGTCGACTTGATTGTCGACGATATGTCTTCTCCCTCCATGTCTCACGTGCAAGTTACGATGGCAAACCTGTTCGCAAGTTGATTAGTGTATTTAATTTGTAATACGGAACTACGGTAATAGGAATTTACGTTTTAATGTTTCTTTACAGACCGTGCTTATAGTGTATGTTTACTAGCTTACAGTTTCTTGCCCCATCTCATGCGACTACTCAGTCTAGGCTTCGTATGGTCTTTACAGTGATAATGCAGAAACTGCGTCTTGAGTGATATTCGAGTACCAACAACCCGATAGTCTGCAATGAGAATTTTATAATGTCTTTGTAGTTCTCTGCATTTGTTTTGCCCAACCATCCAGTACACACTGCCATGAATGACCGCCGTGCTTGTAACTCAACTGAAGTCAACTGGCATACGAAAGCGCTTTCTGTCATTATCCTGCGGATATCATATCCAATTAGTATCCTTTCTTTGAGCTTCGCATCACTACTCTTTGGTAATACTTGTTTCAGGAATTGGAACGCAAAACCATCTCGCTTTACGGCTTTGACAAAGATTTTAGTCAAACCCAGCTTGATGTGAAGGGGTGGTAGGTAGAAATGATCAGGTTGCACAAGAGGTGTATGCTTTCCACATTTCCTTGCGGCAAATTCCGTCCTCTCTGACCACCTTTCGGTTGTGTCCCGTAAGCATAAGAAACAGAAATATTTTGTGAAGCATCCTTGCACACCCATTAGGGGTTCAATGACTTCGAAGTCAGCACAGATGTTCCAACAGTACTTATTGTAGCTTAGTACAACGAGTATCTGTCAAATATTTCGCAAGGCCCCTTCATATTGGTGACATGTAACAGAGGCACAGTTGGGTGCACATTTCTATTGTGGAGCAGTATAGCCTAAAGTCTAATCTTAGACGAATCAATGAAAAGACGCCACCCATCATTGATGTTCCTCACACGTTGCTCCTTCATCAGTCCTTCCACGTCGGAACAGTAAGTAAAGTTTTTTCTTGTGTCATAGAAACCGGACAATTCAACACTTCGCTTTCTGTATACAGTAACCTTAGTGTTTGCAGCAAGTAAGTGCCGCTGCTGCAGCCGAGATGCCAGCTGCTCGGCTTTATCTTTAGGCAAGCCCATGTCACGTCCCAAGTCATTCAGCTCTGATTGTTAAACCAGATGTCGGTTGATAACCTAAGCTTCAAGGTTTTAATATATATTAGAATCAGGGGAAGTTGTCGATGCGGAATCACTTCTCATCATCGATGACATGTTCAATGGAGGCAGTGGAATGAGTGAGGTATAATCATAGGGAACAGGTTGAGTAGCTGATGGAAGATCGGGGTAGTGACTTTTGAAAAGTGCAGCAAGAGAACGACATTTGGTAGACGCAAACATTTCGTGTTATCTCTTCGGTACCAATAACAACAACCAATAAGAAACAAGAACAAATGGTGGATGTGACCAAAAAAGAAGAAACAAACTTGGGAATCAAGAGGCGAAAACGATTCGGTCTTTATTTCCACCGAAGTTTGTGACTGACGAATAGCTGTTTATGCACGCACAGCAGAGGCTGCATTCGGCTAATCGCTATAGCCACAGCGAAACAACGAAATCATGTAGTAGAGTACTGCAGCAAAATTTTGAACGTGGCATCGAGCCGGATCCGGTGACCAGTAATCAATAGGTGTTTACCTATGGAGGATGCCGGCGGTTTACGCGACGATTGGACTTGGGTAGGAAATGGCTGTTCGTTTATCCCACGCACGATCCACTTCGTTGTCTGAGCGGTCCGAGCGGTCGCAAAAAAGGTGTCCTCCTGCGTTATTCGACCTGAAATCTTCGGATTTATTCTCACAGTGACCTACGTACTATCAGTCGATTGGGCTCCGCGAGCTCCTCCTACCACTGTTCACCTTTTGGATCTGTCATTCCTGGATCAGCAGGAAACTGTGCTTTTGTAACTTCGAAGTCAACCGTGCTTGAATTTTATCGGACAATTTATTTTTCCTCTCGTCGCACAAGAACTCTGCTGGTCTTATTTTAAAGTTCTTTTTGAGAGTCACCCAAGCGTCTTACTACCACTCATTCTAGTCGCTGTACAAAGTGATAGTTGTCAATTTGTTCCGCCTTTTGTGCAACCACTGCAGTCAATAGACAGAAATTTCCAAGTTATGTCTTGCCTCAGTCCTACGTTGCATCGCTACCTATCCACTTACCTGCTGGATCAATAGCACGCACATCGCCTATCTACCCTAAGGAACGGGCGACTCATCTGGACGCCACCCGTCTGACTCCCCTGACCTCAAACCAGCGCCGATCGCCGCGCAACGAAAACTGAAGCGAAGTCATACACGGTGCGTCAGTCTCTCTATCCTCTTGCTACCCCTAGGGTAGTGTAGACATCCAGTTACTCCATTCCATCTTGTTAGTGGTGAATCTCTACACCATATCACCACCGTCTGAGGTCATTCCCACTTCGCTGCCCCATTACCGACCGTGACTACATAATTCAGTAGAATTAGCCATTCTAAGTTAGTGGTCAGTGAGAGATCTACAACAGAGATTCTGAACTCTCCTTTTCTATCTAATCACTTTTGGAATTGGTGCAAGTCAAAATAACAAAGTACACGCCTCATGTGGATATGGCCCATTCGAAAATCAATTGTGACCTATGTGTAAAAACTGTTAAGTCTGGTCCAGTTTGCTTTAATTGTCAAAAAGCATACCATTCGAAGTGTTTAGAGATGAGTGCACTCGAAACTAGACAATACAGCAGCAAAACCGAAGCATTTTGGTTCTGCCAGGTGTGCAAATCCACTCCTGTCGTTAGTTGTGTAATTCTCCTAATGAGAAAGTGTAAAATGTTGGCGGAAACAGTTGAGCAACTGGTGAACGCTCGCAACGCAGCTGTGAAAGTAAACAACGCTATACTTGAAACTGAACGGAAACCTACAAACTCCCCGTTTAGGCCGAGGAAGAGGGCCAGGCATCCCAACCCACCATCACGTCTCAGTCTCCAACGGCCCCTAGTCTCATGACTCCACTAAGTGAAAAAGTCGTTTACAACCCACTTGCTACTACGTCCTCCAAGGGTGTAATAACTAGTAATTCAGTTGACATACTTGACACAAAACTCCAGCAAGCCTACGGTAAAAAATAATTGGACATCCTACGCAGCGGTTGCTTCTAGGAAAATGCCGTCAAAGATACCTGTGACCCCACTTATCGGCGAGGTCAAAACTGTGCCTCAACATGGATCGCTATCGCCAGTGCGGTTCACAAATCTACGAAAAGCAAAAGAACCTAGTGCTGTTAAGTCGCAAACTACAAGGCGGAATCATGGTGCCTTAGTCTTGTGTGCACTAACCTTCCTGAATCCAAATCCAACACAATAAAGGGCAAACTGATAGACGATCGTAGTCAGTGGGATTCCATCTGTAGTGCCATCAGCATGCGCGCTGAACCCACTACGCTGAGCCGCATCGCAAGACACCCAAACAACTTACACTACGGTGAACCTCGACTACTTCGAGTAACACTACATTCCGCGGAAGAAACAGAATCCATTCTGCTCGCTGCAAATCGACATCACAGAGCATCGAACGGAGTATGTATCTTACCGGATATTCCATGGAAAGAACGTTCAAAAGATATGAACAATCAACAGGGAAGTAGAAAACACGCTCTGAAAACCGTCGTTATTCATGGCGTCCCCGAGTCTCAAGCTTCACCTCCTTAAGAAGTTCAGGCACATGACCTGGAGCAATGGCGACCCATTCGTGAGGCGTTGTCTTTAGAACATGTCATTGCTACCTCCCTGACCAGGATTCACGTGTCACCAAATTACAAAGGGTGTGGTCCTAGGTTGCTGAAGTTGGTCTTACCATCTGAGCTAACTTTACAGACAGTTCTAGAGAACTTGGGTAAATTCCGGAACATGCTACCAACAGAAATTCGAATTAAAGCAGCAGGTTTACAACCAGAGGCTACTGATTACTCCATGGAGACAACCAACTCAGTGGGAACAACCGTTGTTGTAGAGTCCACCACAGACTGATCTGACTGCCGTCATAGCATCCGGCGAAGCACTGCAGGAGGTGAGTGAGCATCAGGATCATCATGAACCTGATCACACGGTGCAGAGAGTTATCCTAAGTCATTCTCGCGAGCTTAAGAAAATTCCAAAAAACTAGTAGCAGCCGACCTCAAGAGGGTCGGCCAAGTCTCAAACCTGTTGTCTATATCCACAAATAACCTTCTAACCTATGAGTCATTCTCCTGTTTTTATACTAACGCACAAGGTCTTTTAAGCAAACTGACGGAGCTACGCCTACGTCAGACCTCGATGTCAAGCGACCTCGTTATAATAACCGAGACCTGGTTGAATGAAGCGATCATTGATGCAGAAATCACACTACCTGGGATGTCCATTCTACGCAACGATCGACCAAGTAGAGGAGGTGGAGTAGTACTTTATTATCGCAGCGAACTACACATTGATCTCATCGATGACTCAGATGTTCAGATTGTCGATGTGCTTTGGTGTCGTCTTCAACTTAGCCGTGGGGAAGCATGTTTGTTGGGTGTGGTGTATCACCCTCCGTCGGCTACCTTGGAAATGGACAACCGCCTAGCCTCCACAATGAAGACCATTCTCTCGCAGTCGTACAGCCACATTCTCCTGGTTGGCGACTTAAATATTCATACCATAGAAACCCCAGTCTGTATCAACCAACACTTCAAAATGAAAGTACAAGAGATAATCAGTGGGCTACCACTCTACAATCACATCATATCTCCCACAAGATTCAGGACAGGAAACAAACCGGGTGAACTGGGTCTTGTATTCACCAATGAAGAGCTTATGATCGAAACGGTATCGATAGAGAGTCCTTTAAGCCGTAGCGACCATGCAACCTTCATGTTCAAGTACATCTGTTATGCAGAGTAGTCCTCAGAAAACACCGAGGAATGTCAGCTCATTACGGATTACGGCGCTCTACTCAAACTTATAAATGCTACAAACTGGGCATTTCTAGCAGAACGATCCCCCGATGACGCCTGGTCTGAATTTGCTCACCAATTCAACACGTTAGTAACTAGTGCTTCTAGGAAAAGGCCTTCGCGAGCGAAGACAGTAAAATCATTCATACGCAGCAGAACACGCAAGTGTATCGTCACGAGGAATTTACTCTGGCAAAGATACAAGGAGTCATCGAGTGCCGAAACATGGGAAGCCTACACTATCCAAAGGAATCACTGCGTAAATCTGGTACGCGAAGATAAAATACAGCACCAACAGAATCTAGCCGAGAAATTCCTTTCAAACCCCAAGCTCCTGTACAGACACGTTAACAAGCTTCGCAAAGTGCAGTGAGGAATTCCTGCTTTACACACAGTGTGTGGACTCGCACAAAACGCAACCGAGGCGGCCAACGCCCTATGTCAACAATTCACCCCGAACTTCCAGAGCACGACATCGCCGCATACACTGTTCCCAATCGTTGTACCACCACCAGGACTTAGCCACATCACGTTTACGACTGCGGATGTTATGAAAAGGCTAATTGCCCTGCGCGAGCATACCTCTCCCGGTGTTGATAATATTCGTCCAAAAGCGTTGGAAATGGCTGCAGTAAACCTGGCGGACCTCCTCTGCAAGTTCTTCCAACGATGCCTTGATGAGATGCGCGTGCCAACAATGTGGAAGCAAGGCATCGTCACTCCCATCCATAATGGAGATCCGGCCAACTATCGCCTGATAACACTACTTCCGGTGCTCTCCAAAATCATGGAAGCAATTATTGCCGAAGCGCTGATGAACTTCTTGGAAGAATGCAATATCATAACACAAGAACAACATGGGTTTCTCAAAAACCGATCTTGCACTTCAAACTTTCTGCTTGCCAGATCCAGTTGGACTGAGACCGTTGACAGCGGCGTAGGTGTTGACGCAGTATATCTGGACTTCTCAAAGACTTTCGACCGTTTGAATCACCGTATCCTCCTTCACAAACTGCAGTGTTGGGGAATTGGTGACCCAATCCTCGGTTGGATAGCTAACTTCTTGCTTCAACGACATCTGAATGTAAGAGTTCGCGGCGTCATCTCTGACCCAATCGACGTTAAGTGTGGAGTGCCCCAGGGCTCAGTACTTGGTCCACGACTATTCCTGATTTACATAAACGATCTCGCGACAGTAATCACCTTCAACTGCTTACTCCTCGTTGATGATCTCAAGATATGGCGACAATGCAGCACTTCAGGATGATCTGGACAGGGTCTACGAATGGTCGACTCAGAACCTGCTTCAGTTGAATGCTACAAAGTGCAAGGTGCTGAGCATCCGCCATAAAGCCACATGCGAATACAGACTGGGGGATCAAATATTGCAGCGCACTACAACGGAATGCGATCTAGGAGTGGTAGTGCAGGAAGATCTGGGCTGTTCCCGTCAGGCCGCGAAAGCCTGCAAAAAAGCTAACCAAAACCTTGGTCTTTTGCGGAGGGCATTCGGACGCTTCGATCCTTCCATCTTTTCTCAGATGCCCAACGCCTACATTCGGTCTCATTCTGAGTACACCATCCACTCTTGGCAGCCATCGCAAAAGCAAGATCTTACCACTCTTGAACTGCCAAACGAAGGGCGAGCAAGAACGTAAAGGGCCTGTTTCATCCCCCTTATCGATTGAGGCTGAAAACCCTCGGGGTCTACAGTGGACAATATCGACTCCTGCGTGGCGACTTGTTAATGACTTATATGATTCTGAGGAATCCAAACCATTGTTGTCGTCACCTACTTAAGTCGAATAGCAATACAACAATCAGAGGACACCAGCTAAAGCTGGTCACACAATACAGCCGGTTGGAATGCCGCCGGAATTTCTTTTTCCTTCGTGTATGCGAACACTGGAACGCTCTTCCCACATACGTTGTTTCTTCCCCCACACTAACGGTATTCAGAAGACGTCTGGATGATTCGCTTGTCCACCTACATTACGCTATATAATCAGAGATGTCGACGTCAAACAAACGCGAAAAAAAAGTGCTCATTCTCAGCTTTTGTGCTTCACTAGTTACACACTGCTGTTGTGGAATATAGTTTCGGATATATTACAACCGCATTCATCAGCTTACCCCAGTCCAAGAAAGCGGCCCACGAGTAAGCGTTGGTCGTTTCTCTTATTCTTAAGACATGCTTTACCCATATTCCCATATTATTCTACAGTAACAGTTCAGTACATATTCTACAACGTTTCTATGAATGAGGGGCACTTGAATTCACTAGACGCTTAAATTGACGATTTACACTTATGTTTTCTTTCAATTTAACCATCCTACGGGACTTGTAAAGCAAT